TTATATATAATTATATTTTTGTCATTTTTATGTATAACAGAGAATAAGTAATTAAGTGGGTTTTGAGTAATGGAAGAGAAAATGGAGCTTCCACCCTTCAAAACAAAAGGAACAAGCTTCCTCAAGACTTGCTTCAATGGCATAAATGCCTTATCAGGTTCTTACTCTTTTCCTAATTATTTTTTTAATTATCCCTTACATGTATCTAAATTTTTTTCTTTAATTAAAAATTTATAATCCATCAATAATTAACGAATACACACGTCATCATAACACGACATAAAATAATATATAAATAAAAATATACACAATAGTACTGTATAAAATAGAAACGTATCAATTATTTAGTTTAATAATGACTTATAATGTTTAATCTCATAAAGGACCTGATTTATATATATACGCACATGTATATAGATGTACGTTAACTGAAAATGATCTACGTATATGATGGGCATGCAGGAATTGGATTAATAACCATCCCCTACACACTCTCACAAGCCGGTTGGTCTGGTTTGGCTGCTCTTCTATCAATGGCAATTGTAACTTGTTACACAGGTCTCCTTCTACATCGATGCTTAGACTCCAACCCATCAATCAAAAATTACCCAGAAATCGGTTTGTATGCATTTGGACAAAAAGGAAAATTAATCATATCAATATTTATGTATCTAGAGTTGTATCTAGTCCCAACTGGGTTCTTAATATTAGAAGGAGATAATTTACACAAACTATTTCCAAACGTTGGATTTGAGATCGTTGGAACCCACATCGGAGGGAAAAGACTTTTCACAATGCTTGCTGGGTTAATAATCTTACCATCTATGTGGCTGAAAGATTTAAGCTGGCTTTCGTTTGTGTCAGCCGGTGGAGTCTTGTCGACCATTTTGGTTACTGGTTCGGTTTTCTGGGTTGGTGGTTTTGATGGAGTTGGGTTCTCGAGTAATAGAGGACAAGAAGTATTTAACTTGAAGGGAATTCCTACTGCTCTCAGCTTGTATGCATTTTGCTATGGTGCTCACCCAGTTTTCCCTACCTTGTATTCTTCCATGAAAGACAAAACTCGTTTTCCCAAGGTAATTTAATAAGTCTAACATGAAAGTAAATCATAATTTTACCTATCCATTTTCTCCTAAATCAAATTTTACCTACTCATTTACATTTTTTTGTTCTAGACTCAACTGATCCATTTTGACTTTTCAAAATTTTTCAGGTTTTGTTCATAAGTTTTGGTTTGAGCACTATGAGCTATATGTTAATGGCTGTTGTTGGGTACCTAATGTTTGGTCAACATGTTGAATCCCAAGTGACATTAAACTTACCCACAAACAAAGTGAGTTCAAAAATAGCTATATACACCACATTGGCAGGCCCTATTGCTAAATATGCACTTATAATTACACCCATTGCAAATGCAATTGAAAGTCAAGTGTCTACCCACAGACTCAGTTGCATAATCATAAGAACTCTCTTATTGCTTAGTACAGTTTTTGTAGCATTGCTTTTTCCATTTTTTGGGCTACTCATGGCACTTGTTGGAGCAATACTTAATGTCACAGTCTCCATTTTGTTGCCCTGCATTTGCTATTTGAAGATTTTCGGTGGTAAAAAATGGAGATATGAATTTGTGATCATTGTGGGGATTATACTTGTGGCTATTCTTGTTGGAGTTATGGGTACATATTCATCTATTGTGCAGATTATGAAACATATTTGAGGGTTATAATTAAAACTCTCTTTTTTTTAAGTTTGTTGACTTGTATCAGATCTTAATTCATTAATCTAATGGTGGAGAATCAACGAAGCAAAATGTCTCGAATTACATTTTTGTCATCTAACTTGTATTATTATTATGACCAACCATTGATAATTAAATTTCGCTCATATTTATATCGTGAAATTAAAATATTAAAAAAATAATTATTTTCCAAATGTATATATGGTATATAATAAATATTTTTTTAAAAAAAAAAAATCTAACGATATATAGTTAATTATTATAATTTTTTCACAATTGTTAATAATATTCTTGATGTATTTTAGCATTTGAACTAATAATGCAAATGGTATTATCACCATTTTTTTTTTGTTTATAATAAAAAATATGTTAGAATTAATATTTGTTGAGAATTAGGAAGCAAAATTTGATCAGGTGAATAAAATTAAGTTATATATATATATATATTGTGTATGTATGATTTGAAATTAGAGTAGGGATTTACACAAATTCAAATATTGGAGCTGTCATGTTTGAAATTGAAATTTTAGGCCATACTAGTTTTTGTATAATTCACTGAATTATGTAAACAATGAATGTATGAAAACTTCTTTATTACATTCAAAAGATATATATGACAATTATCAAGAACCGCAGGCGCCTTTCCAAGAATTCCTCTTGGACAAACCTTCTAAGCACACTATTTATTCATCGTTAAAAATATAATTAAAAATATTTATAAGAGTTAATTGTTGGTTTTAATTTTTGTTTAGTTAATGACTCTTACTTAAAATCTAAATTCATGAATTTTTAGTAATTTTCATGTCTATTTTTACTAGAAAAAATTCCTGAAATCAAAATTTTTCTAAAAGAATTAAATTTAATAAATTTTATTAATCAATATTTCATTGTACAAATAAGGTATTTCAATTTATTCCCTCAAAACCTATACTACTACTATATACACATTTAATTAATATATAACGGTCTCGGAAATTTAAAATAAAATATATGTATTAAAAATGTCAAATGCGGAAGCGAAGTCAAAATTTCGAT